TCTCTTAGCCCCTCATTCCCCATAGCTGATGAGTTGACTTCATCCTTCAATGAGGAAGTAAAAGCCATTGGAATGAACTCTCTCATCATCCCACCAACAAATTTATAAACTTGTCAACATCAGTTTCCCTCTCCTTTTCCGTCCTGTGTAGTGGATGAAATCTTCTGCCTTTCAAAGTCCTGTTCTCCCTGTTGCTCGGGGTCCAGTCATCTTCTTGCCAATTGAATTCAGTGGGGCCTTTTCTCTCTTAACTCATTTGAGCTTTGAGGGTCATTTGACACAGAGGACTGCCCTCCTTTTCTTTTGGAATACTCTCTTCTTTCAGCTTTTTGGACTCCACACTCTCCTGTATTTCCCGCCACATCACTGGATGTTCCCTCTCTGTCTCCTTTATGGACTTCAACTTCCCTCATCTTACAAAGATGCAGTTCCTGCCCAGGTGATGACAACTCCTGGTTTCAAGCTTAAATGTCATTTCCTCAGAGGATTTTGAAGGGCAGACTAGATTAGGGCATCAAGTTATATGTTCTCATTACACATACTCATTGTACTTTTCTTTCATACATGTATTATGTATGACAAATTACTGTGTGTGTAATTTTTTGTTCAGTGTATCCTTTTCTGCATTGTCTGTACTGCCCACCATATGTCCTACATGCCTGTTACAGAGCCTAGGATGTAGCAGATGCATAATAAATATTAGCAGAATGAATGAATATGTAAATGACTGAAAGTGTCAAGAAATGTTAGTTCTCTTTCCCTTTCCCATCTCGGATTTAGGGAAGCATGGATACCCCAGGGTTGTGGAGTCAGTGGACACTATCATTTGTGTAGAAGAAAGGCAAATTCATGGTGTGATGGATGTTAACAGATGTTTAAAATTACTTAAGGAGCTGTTACAGACACCTCTTATAGGCAGTTGAAAATGTAGATCTGGATCTCAGTAAAGAAGTTATGGTTAAGGATATATTCAAATCATAAAAATTTACTTTTTATATCTTTTAAAATGTGTTGTAATCTCATCCGCATTTTAAAATGGAGGGAAAGGTAGGTTTAGGGGTCAAATGCCAGGATATAAAACATACGGTGCATTTGGCACAAATTAAAATTATTCAAACTCTGATCTGATTAGAAAGGGTCAGTCTTGAAAGAGTTACAATTGAAATTGTAACACAAATAGAATTGGATTTTCTTATCCCCCTTCCCCTGCTTTTTGGCAATAAATCCTGAACACAGATCTAAGGTCTTTCCCTAGGGCAAAACAAACAAACAAATTTAAAAAACCCAGATAATATCCACTCAAAAATAGTAGTCTTCCAAAGTCATGGTATATGAAAAGTTATGGGGGTTTTAGAATCTGGTGAAGTATAGTCTTACAGCTCTGGATGAGACCACAAAGCATTTCATTTCAGATGAAGGCCAGGGCTAGTTACAAAGTTGTATGACACTTAAGCTTGACCTCAAACAAGCTTGCATTAAATGGTGAAGGTCCAATGAGTATCATATTTCATAACTGTATAAGGTACTTAGAATTCCTTAGATCTTATAAAACCATATTAAAAATGCTGTTATCCTTATGTGTTTTCAATAAATGAGCCTATTTTTATGAACAAAACTGAATAGAGAAGGATGTGTTTCTTTCCCCCTCTGGACTAGGTTTATAAGAACTGTTGAAACAGGCTTTGTAGGGTACCATATATCTCCAGGGTTGCAGACCAAGTTCTATGAAGCTCTGGACATGGTAACTTTGTAAACTTGCATTTCTACTAGAGTGCTAAACTCATGTTTGTGCTAGGGGCTAACAAATAGTCTTCAGTTTTATTAGCAGAGAAGTAGGAGATGACTGATTCTAGGAGAGTGCCTAGAATAATCTAGAAAGAGGAGCGAAGGCACACCAGGAAGAACTGCTGACCACCATTTCCCGGTGATGGCCATGGTCACATGTGGGACGTAGCACTGCACTCTGTCCCACAACTCAGGGTATTATATTAATTCTAGACTTTTAGGTGAATGAATTGCTCATATTAAAACTGCCCACATTTGAAGATCTCTTTCTTATTTCTCAGAATATTTTGTCAAAGCTAGTTCCTTTACCTCTTTAAATATTTTTTTCCTCAGATAAAGCACCAAGACAAACTCCAATTCCTTTATAAGCCTTTCTTTTCAACAAAGGGATACAGGAAAATCAAAGTCTAGTGGTTTTTGTGCAAAGCTCAGTAACTAACAGATTTCATTTTGCCACTATCAAAACCAAAACTTAAAAACCTTGGGTCATTGGGAAGCTGTGAGAAGATTACTAGCAATTAAGCTAGAAATGCTGGTAATGCTAGTGACCCAATAAAAAGAGTGTCAAGAAACCAGCTTTACTATTGGTAGTAAAGAAAAAGAAACTGTTACAATCTGATTTAGGGTGGCAGGCACAAAAAATGTAATAAATAATGCATGCACTGTATCCCTCTCTGATTCTTTGCAGTTTTCCAATTAGGCTTCTGGGGACATAGATGTAGGCATGTGTAAACATAATTCAGATGAGGATAATGCTTCAGATCTATTGATCTAAGATACATTTTTCATGAATAACTTCAGATATGAATATATTGGGGTTGAATAAGCATAAATAAGTTAAAGGAAGTTCCTCTATATTTGAGTCTTGTAGATATAAAACTCAACTTCTCCTTGTTATGCTGTTATTTTTATTGAACTACTGATGATTTGAAGTAGACAAATATTTGCAAGAGCTAGAGATTGGGGCATAGAAAGGGATATATAGATAGATACAGATATAGATAGTATGGCACTGCCACCTGTGAGACCACAGGAGTAGTAAGTGCATTGCATATAAGTAAAATTTAGTCTCAAGAATATAATTGCTTAGCTCTAGTTATGTGTATGTAGTTGTATACATACCTATGTAAATACCTACTTGAAATCTTCCTAAATCATTGTATAACATAATTTTTAAAGAACTCTCTGCCTGGAAAGTTTTATGTAGTCCATTTGTTTTTGCTTCAAGCAAAATTATATGGATAATAACATCAAATCAGACTCAATTCAGTGATACTTGCCATATTTTTTTTGGCAAAGAATTTATTACAGTTTGTGCAAATTTCTGAAAAAATTAAATGTGTAATTTACCTACATGCATTATTTTTGATCAGTATGTATTTTTAAATAGAAAAACCACAAATCCATATCTATATATGGATGAGGATAATTTGTAAATCAAAGACTACAGCATTTATTTCTTTACAAATATTCTCATCTCAAGAATATCTCTCTTAAAGTTATAACATTTTAGTACAAAATAAAACAGCTATACAAGACAGCAAGAACTAAATAACTTTACATTTTCTTTTCAATGAGAGTCCAAATGTTTTGCTGATAAGAAAAGTTAATTTTGGAGTAGTCATCTTCAAAATAGAAACAAGCACTGATATTAGCCATTATTTATTGGGTTGAGATCTTTACTCCACAGAAATTTGTGTATTAAAAATTACCTGTAGAACAAGGGAAAGTGCTGTGTGTAGCATTGAGAAACTCTCCCTTCTCTCATGGGCAAGAATAACAGTTGCTGCTACTACCTATCTTTGATAGAAATGCTTATTTCTAGAACTTAAAGCTTCTAGGAAGGGAGCTACTCTATCTTGGACTGCTATTTTAAAGCATATTATCTATAAGTTCAACTGGAAATAAAATTTATTTTGATTAGAAAACACAATGTCAAGTGGTCAACAAAAGCTTCTACCTTTTATTGGTCACCAGGCTGACACAAAGCACTTTTTTTTTTTTTTTTTTTTTTTTAGAATCTCGCTCTGTTGCCTGGGCTAGAGTGCGGTGGCGTCAGCCTAGCTCACAGCAACCTCAAACTCCTGGGCTCAAGCGATCCTATTGCCTCAGCCTCCCAAGTAGCTGGGACTACAGGCATGCGCCACCATGCCCGGCACAAAGCACTTTTTAAACACATTTTTTGTTAAGTTTCCTTTCTCTGATTCTTGTGTTCTCTTTTCCTTTTTCTGTGTCAAAATAGAAGAAACAAATACTGTTTAATTTTTAATAAAGCTTTCTCAGGGGTACTATTTTAAAGAAATCTTTACATATAATAAAGTATTTTCTAAGGTAATTGTGTATTTTCTATTTTTATATTGACTTTAATTACTGACAATTTACCATGCTTATACTGTATATTTTTTTAGCTAAGTAATCTTGGCAATGTAGCTCTTCTATAAAAGATATAATAATCTACTCTCCAAGATGTTAAATGATCTGTAAATGAAACATTTTGAGATAATTAGAACTTTTATTACATACATCTATATTACATAAAATATGCATTCTGGATGCTATTCACCAGATATTTTTTTAAAACATGGAATTTCTCTTTTCGAAAATATCTACATAGTAATGTCCTCCAACAAGCATAAAAATACCACTAAGTTTAATGGCAGCTATGGTACCTATAAGAAGGGGCTCACTGCTCTTCTGCTTAAGAACTTCATGAAGTTCACTGGGTTGTAATAACACCCACTTATCTCCTTGAGTTGCTTTCAAATCCAGTAGCTAATGTCTGGGGCAGTGCCGTGTAATCTGTAAAAAGCATGTGAACGTTAGGCGGTACTCCACAGGGGTGAACCAGCTACCTGAGCATAGGCAGAAAGTCGCCTCTCGGCAGGCCGTAGGCATTCATTCTGCTGCCATCAGCACTAAACATGCCTCTTTCAGGATGCAGGGCTCATGCTCTTCTCGGGCATGTGGTGAACAGTGTCTCCTCAGGATTTGGGTGGGTTGTTCAAGAGAGGGAACTTATGAGCATAGTGACATTGAATAAGAGGCTGTGTAGATAGAATAAACGTTAATGTTGTTCCAGGAGAAAGAGATCAGATGTGTAGAATTGCCAAGGGCCTTCTCACCACCCAATTCAGAGCTAGTCTTAGCTAAAAATGAGAGTACACAAAAGAAAGCTAATATTGGAAAATTGCTTATAATTAAAATGTATTTTTCAGAACGCTGTAAATGTAAGCCTATTAGAGCTACACAGAAGATCTATTTCCGGAACAATTACAACTATGGTAAGAATAACGTTGTGGTTAATTTATAAACTGCTGTCTTAAGAAATGGGTGTGTATGTGTGCGTGTGCATGTGTAAATGAATAGAGCAGTTTAAGAATAAGGTTTAAAAATAAATAGAGAAGGACAACTTTTAAGAGCATAGTCCCTCTTCCTCAACCAATTAAAGTGTCTCACATGGGTAAAATGCTTAACAAATGGTTGATTTTGATGCATATCAGGCAGGAGTATTGGCATCTTAGAGCCATGCCCCTAAGTACACAGAGACAAGATTCAAAAGTGATGGGACTCTTCTCTATCTGGAAGACTGAGGAGGATTGGAGCTCAAATGTTTGAAGCTGCGTGGGCCATCAGTTGTGCTTCCTCAGGGTGAACAGAAGAGCTCTTTGATGCATAAGGAATGGTTAAAAGAATCACACTTGGTTTCTTCAGTCAGACTATCCCACGGAAAACATCGACAGCGTTGGAAAGTAACACTTACAGAAGTTGTTGTTATTCAGTTAAAGAAGTGTTTTGTTATGTAGTTTGACCTAAAAATCTGACATTCTGGTAAACTAAATATTCATGAAAGAGCTACCAATCTGAATGTAGCTGATAAATTTAATTAAAGGATGAAAATACCTACTGTTTTTGTGCCAAGAACTGTGCTAAGTGGTTTTCATACGCTATCTAATTTTCTCAAGCGCCCCGTGAGATGTATTATCCTGATTTTATCAATGATTATTGAACCTAAGTTGTCCCCCCTTTGATTGTTCATCATGTACTTTTGAGTATTGGTGTGTATGATTTATGTATACAGAGTCATTATATTTAGAAGGGGCAGTTAATAGAGCTTTCCAGTTAATAAATAAGGGACTAAGCCTATGGAATATAGTAAATCAACATGTTTAATTAGTATCAGTTTTTATATTGCAACGGTTGGTGCTGTTATTTTTGTTAAAAGTTAAAATGTAAATCATGGAAAGAGAAGATTTTAGAGAAGTTAGTTGAATGAATATTATAAAAATGGGATATGGATCATGATTAGATTCTTTTTTTTTTTTTTTTTTTTTTTTGAGACAGAGTCTCGCTTTGTTGCCCGGGCTAGAGTGAGTGCCGTGGCATCAGTCTAGCTCACAGCAACCTCAAACTCCTGGGCTCAAGCGATCCTTCTGCCTCAGTCTCCTGAGTAGCTGGGACTACAGGCATGTGCCACCATGCCCGGCTAATTTTTTGTATATATTTTTAGTTGTCCAATTAATTTCTTTCTAATTTTAGTAGAGACAGGGTCTCGCTCTTGCTCAGGCTGGTTTCGAACTCCTGAGCTCAAACAATCCACCCTCCTCGGCCTCCCAGAGTGCTAGGATTACAGGCGTGAGCCACCGCGCCCGGCCCATGATTAGATTCTGAGTCTAATAATTTCTTTTTCCTAGCCATGTAATAACTAGGTTGCACCACAGTTTGAGGACTGTTATTTGTTTGGGACTTATTTACATCTTCTTTGGGGAAGGCAGGCACTCAAATGGTTAATTAGAAGGAAAAACTCTGAAAAGCAAATAAATATATTTTTATTTCAAAAATACGTTCATTTTTATCTTATATATCTGCATGTGTCTGTTAAAACAAAGAGGAGGCGGGAGCAATTGGTGATTCAGAAAAAACCTCTGCTTCATTCAGATTAATTCAGTTAAAAACTCTTGAGCTTTAACAAATTACTTACATAAAAAAGTAGGTCTTGTACAGAGATATTTATTTTGGAGTGGGTACATGTACTAAAAATTTCTAATGAAAATAATAGACACTGGGTAAATAAATCATTAGTTTGAGAACATTTGCACAGTTCACTAATCTCTGATAGTTGATGGATGCTATGAAGCACATTTGCTTAAGCCAGGACACAAAAAAATGTCTGCTAGCTGGGGGTTGAGAATTTATTATCTGGCTCTCCCAAGTGACATTTCAAAAAGGGCAATCTTATCTTCTGTTAAAACACAGGATAGAGAGAACATAAATAGAAAGAGACTCCACTTGCAAATCAAACCAAGCAGGGATAGCTGAGCAGTTATATTTTACTTGCTACAAGTTTTCATACTTGAGGCAACTGATTCTCTGAAGACTGAAATACCTGTGAAGCAAAAATAATGTTTTGTCTTAGAGTTTTTAGAATTCATTAGCAACTTAATGTCTGTCATATGAATGTTGCAGTGGTAGAATATTATCAAGTTTCTGTGATGAAGTTGGAGCGTTAGTGGGGGAATAGTTTATTAGCTGGCTTTATGTTTTCATGGATTGTTTTTTTCCAATCCTTTGTAGTCCAAAATCCCTAAACTATGTGGGAAGGCACTCAGATAAAAGTGGTTTACAGATATGTACCTAAGAAGCTTGCAAAAAGTGGATTCATTTGGATAAATTGTGTTTTCCTCTAAATAATGTCCATGGATATTGAACTTGAGCAATGAGAGGACCTACACAGGAAAATGCCATTGTCTTTTTACTAATTGACATTTTTACTTCTTTCTTGGCATTTTAAAGCTTCTCATTTGCCAGAAGTAGGAATCTAAAGAATTTGGCTCTCCCAAAGGAGAGAGATACAGAAAAGAAGAAGAATTGTACTTTTCTGAATTCTGAGTCAAATACTTTGACTTTGCAACTGAAGGGAATTTGTCATTATATTGTAAAGTAAAGCTGCCCCTTGTGAGATAAATTAGGTGCCAGTATATGCATTGAGAGAAGTAGATTAATGCAATTGACATGTTAACATATTCCATAGCACGTGAGGAGAAGAAATGTTGGAGTGTCTGACTTCAAAACAAAATGGAGGAAAGAAGGTCTAGTGGTGACAATTTTTATTCAAGAAGAAAATGTAGTATACCTAAAGAAGAGTATAAAAGATAATCTATACTGACACAAAGTAAGAAAGGGACTAATGTCTGAACAGCACGCTAAAATGAGGAAGGTGAAAAGATCACAGAATAAGCTTGGGAACAATATTGAACAGGACAACTTTATAACACTAAAGAGACCTGCCAACTCAAGAAAATACATTAATCTGGTAGAAAAATGCAGACAAGGAAACAAAGCATATGTGAGTACTAGGTCTTTACATATAGCAAAATTAACATAGGTTAAATTCCTGTTGGCCAATTGGAGCTGCACACATACATATACACACATCTGAGATGATATTCTGGAAGATAATTATATCAGATTATTCACTCATCTTTTGGTTATCTAAATAGATTTCTCAAAATTAAACACAGGAACACACATGCATATATACACACAAACATATGTACACAAAAATTGGAAAAGGGATCAGGGCTGAACATTAAGGGGGCAAGTGTGTTGTTTAGTATGTCACTCACTACAGTCTAAGGCAAAATGGCTGGTTGACTTTCCTCTTCATTCATTGAGCATCAGGTGAATAAGAATTGACTAGAAAAAAACCAACTTTGTCTTTTTTGAATGGAGCACCTCTTATGTGTCATATTGCTATATCAGCTTTACTGTCTTTTATCCCAGTCATCCGGGCTAGAGTTAAAGAGGTAAAGACCAAGTGTCATGATGTGACTGCAGTAGTGGAAGTGAAAGAGATTCTGAAGGCTTCTCTGGTGAACATTCCACGGGATACCGTCAACCTCTACACCAGCTCAGGCTGCCTGTGCCCTCCACTTAATGTTAATGAGGAATATATCATCATGGGCTATGAAGATGAGGAACGTTCCAGGTAATTCTCTCCTTAAGGATTCAGAATAATTTCTTTGCCTGCCTTACATTCATCGTATTTCTTTCTAGAGATCTTACTCTTATGTTTCTTTGGGCTCTGTCTGTCTTGGGGATTACAGATAGGTTTTAGTTGGGTCCCCTGATTTCATATACTGGATAGGAAAGTGTATGTGTGCATTGTTCTGGGCAGAGGGACCATAACTTCATTTGTTTCCTAAAGGGGTCTATTAATCACAAATAGTTAAGAATTATGGGTCTAAAACTTGGCTGTCCTATTCTAGAATAAACATGTAAGTGTTTCTGGGCAATGATTCCATGTACTTTTCAGGATAGGTTTAAATTTTTCAAAAATGGTTGCTTCTTTTAAAAATGCAGATTACTCTTGGTGGAAGGCTCTATAGCAGAGAAATGGAAGGATCGACTTGGTAAAAAAGTTAAGGTAAGCCTCTATTTTATGTTCAAAGCAATACACAAAAAATGAAAGTAGAAAACCAGCTATCTGTCATTAAATGAAATAAGTTGCCTTCAACCACATGAGAAATACTAAAACCTAATATACGTATATTTAGATACATAAAACTCAGCTGATTCTGTCTTCAATATCTATTTCATTTAAGGAATGAGTTCCCTGTACGTGTATCAGAGAGCTAACTGTAGTTCTCTAACTTCTTATAACAAGGAGTCTAGCTGTGGTTAGTGCATCCTGGTAGTGTCACTCTCCTTTATCATTAGGGCTCCAGGCTCTTTCGACCTTATTGCTCTGCTGTTTTTAAGGGTGTTACTTCCATATATTCATGTTCACCTGGTGGTCACAAGGTGGCTGCTCCTTCTCCAGCATCACATCTACATTTGGGGAATTAAAAAAGGGGGGCTGAAAGGGATTTATAAGAGCCTCATCCAGCAACTTTTACTTAGGACTTCTGGTCAGGACTGCGTATCATGTCCTCCTTAGGTGCAAAAGAGGCTGGGCTAGGAAATGTAAATTTTTAACTGGGCATATGGCTTCCTTGAACAAATTGCAGTTTGTGAGAGGGAGAGAATAAATGATAGCAAAATACCAATGTTGTCCAATGTATAGACACCAATTCCTTTGCACACAGCGCAGCAGCGTTCATCTGTAGGTATGTAAGATCTGACCAAATTAGGTCCTTAGAGCAGTAATATTGCTTTATTTTTAAGCCAATGACTCTTAGATTCTGAAACTGATACATTAAAAAAAAATCACACAGTAAATTACTTTATTATACAAGGTTTCATTTCTTCTCACTGCACTAAGCAAATCTGCTTCAAAGAAAAGAATGCAGCAGGGGGAAATGCATAGGGGGACAAAGAATCTAAAAGGATGTGGGGGGGTGGGGGGAGTGGGAACCGTACCAAACATAATACATCCTCTTCCTTCTGCGAATTTGAAGGCTTGGGAAACATTTATGGGGTAAGTTAAACACCCCCGGGCAGTTTATCTTATACATCTGGCACTTGACACAGCAGACACGTTTGGGTTTAAGTGACCTACAAAAATGTAGAGGGCATTATTTTTGTAGGGAGAAACTTCCCTCTAGAAAGTTCTTTCTCTCACCCCAGTGTATTTGTCAAAACCGAGATACATTTCAAGTTCAGCCTTGTAAGCATTCTCTATTTGCATCTCTCTTCAATTAGTCTGATGTTTATTAGAGGAAAAAAATGGTTCTTGTTCAGTATGTTGGAATCTCTTACTGTCTTTTTAATTTGGTTTTCTGCTTGTTAATGCAGAACAGGAATTTGTCCTAAATTCCTGTACCAGTTGGAAGAGCTTTCAACATCCCTGCTGCAAAGCATGTAACAAGCCTTACTGCTCCCCTTTTGGTACCAAAACAATGTCATCGTGCTGTTAACAGGACACATGGCTTGTTCGTCCTGTTTCTTAGTAAGGCAAACACATTTCCTATTGTTTTCTGCAGAGACTCACAGAGTTATTATTATTAATAATTAGTATTGTGACATTTATATTCTCAGTCTGGATTTAAACATGGTAAAGGGAAGAAATAAACCAATAACTTGAACAATTTTTAATTCATATACAGATAACTCAGGGCTAAAAGGTTTGGGTGGAAAATCCCTTTTGGCCAGAATTATTGAGGTGCTCATTTTAGTTCTCCAGTCAGTTTAAGAAGGTAAAAAAAGAGTTTTATGAAGAACATTATTTTTTTTATAAATCAGAATTGCCCTTAGCTGATTTTTTAGTTTCAGTGAATAGATGGAGAATTTTAAAAAGATCTTATTATGATGGTTTTTCCAAGCAAATGGTTGTTTACCTAAGTATCTGCTATAGCAGATTGTTTAAATCAAGATATTTGGACTACTGCCTTGAGGAGGTGAGAATCGGACTATTTTTAAAATATCAAAACAAGATTGTGGAGTGAAGTGTACTAACATGAAAAATTACTCTAAGTAATAGAAAAGTAATAATTACTATGTGCTAAGTACTTTTTCCTTTCTAAAAATTAATCTTCAGAACAGTCTTATCAGTCAATTCTATTATTAATTCCAAGTATAAGTGATGAAATGAGGTCTAATAAGTTCAAGAACCTCCACATGGTAAGTGGTGGAACTGGAATTTGAAGTTGGGCCACCCGACATTAGCTCCTTGCTACTTAAAGTGTGGTCCCTGGACCAGCAACACAGGCATCACCTGGTACCTTGTTAGTTATGAAAACACTGGGCCCCATCTCAGACCTACTGAATGAGAATCTGTGATTTTAACAAGTTCCCAAGGTGATTTCTATGTTCATTGAAGTTTGAGAAGTACACCTGTGGGCCTTATTCCCTCCACATACTTTCATAATATGACTTCCATTTATATTATGTGTAAGCATTGTTGACATTGTTAATATGAAATATTAGTAAACTTGTTTGTGGTTATTAAAAACGTTGGATATGCTTGCTTTGTAAGGCTTAGAATAAGAGCAGGACCTTGTCTGGTTTGTTTGTTGCACTCAGTAGATATTACTCGGAAAAACATTTTTGAAAAACCTCATCCACCTAAAAAAATCTCTATTGTTTTCATTGCTCAAATCCCACGGATTTTAAAAGGCTCTGTTCTTATGTGTCCTAAGAGAGAAGAATGAAAAATAGCCTTTGCTTCAAATTCTCCATGTAAATCTTCCATTTGTTGGTCACCTGTGAAGCACTAGACCTGTGTGTTTTACCTCAGGAAATACCCATAAATATAGGTAGATATTTGTATCTGTCTGTACACAGACGTGGAAATCTTAAGTTTAAGATTTGCTATGAAAGCATTACTGAATATATTATAGATGGCCAAGTTTGTGCTTTTTAAAATCAGAATTATGTTCATTATAGTGTCAGTTTTGTTGTTACCCTAGGATATGGATTTTATACTTTTGGAAAAGTAGTAAAGTGCTTTAGAGAACTGACTCTGCAGTTTTACCCAGCTCTTAGAATAACAGAAATGATGACCCTGGTGATATGTGCTTGTGACTATTTTCTGTTTTAAATTTCACAGCGCTGGGATATGAAGCTCCGTCATCTTGGACTGAGTAAAAGTGATTCTAGCATTAGCGATTCCACTCAGAGTCAGAAGTCTGGCAGGAATTCTAACCCCCGGCAAGCACGCAACTAAATCCTGAAATGCAAAAAGTAACATGAGTGAACTTCCTGTTAAGATTTGCGTTGCTGGACTAGCAAAGGAGAATTGCACTATTGCACATCATATTCTATTGTTTACTACAAAAATCATGTGGTAACTGATATTACTTCTATTTTCTCTTTTGTTTTCTGCTTTACTCTCCCATCCCCCCACCCCCTTTTTAATGGACTGGGGGCAGAACCTTAAATATATGCTTTCTGTTTCACTAATCATAGGAAAACTGTTCTTTTGCATTAATAATAAATTAAACATGTTGATACTAAGGTCTCTGCTGGAGTCCCCAGATGTTAATTTACTGTTTTGCACCCAGATAGGGAATGCAATATTGGATGCAAAGAGAGATTTCTGGTATCCACAGAAAGCTAGATATGCTGTAAAATATACTCTGTTGATCTAATTACAGGCTCATTTTCCTATGCCTCTTGGACATTCTTCTCACGCTTAGAAAGTTCTAAATGTTTATAAAGGTAAAATGGCAGTTTGAAATCAAATGCCATATAGGCAAAGCAATCAAGCACCAGGAAGCATTTATGAGGAAATGACACACAAGATGAATTATTTTTGAGATTGGCAGGAAGCAAAATAAATAGTGTTAGGAGCTGGGGAAAGAACATTTTGCCTGATTGAGAAGCGCAACTGAAACCAGTAGCCGCTGGGGTGTTCACAGTAGCATTCTTCTTTTGGCAATACATTTGATTTGTTCATGAATATATTAATCCACATTTAGGAAGAGAGTTATAACTAGACATCTGCTGTTATCACCATAGTTCTGTTCAATTTGCTTCCTTTTAAATAAACCCATTGGTGGAAGTCTTTTTTTTCCTCTTCTTTAAAAAAAAAATCAGACTTGCTGCATTGACCAGGAAAAGAAAGTTATATATGCATGTGCACCTGGGTGTTATTTTTAAAAAGACATAGCTCTATGAAATGCCAGATTACAGGACGATGAAATGTGCAAGTTTTCTTTGTGTGTGTGTGTGTGTGTGTGTGTGTGCGTGCGTGTGTGTATGTCTGTGTACTTGTGTGTGTGTGCACTCACACCCACGCTGGACTAAGTTACAGGCCTGCCACTGGCCTGCACTTTATCATTTGGATTTGTGCTGTTTAATGCTCAGTAAAAAATGTCTAATAAAAGGAATTATGGTTGTCAGGAGAGAGGTTATTTTGACTTTTGAACCAAATGCACATTTCTCATTACCAAAGCTGCAGTGAGATCCCCAGAGGACATGGTGAACAAAGGATGTTTTTACAGACGGTCCCCAGCTTACGATGGCTTGACTTACAATGGTTCAACTTAATGATTTGTTTGACTTAACGATGGGTTTATCAGGACATAACCTTATGCATTTCGACTTGCAATAGTTTCAACTTATGATGAGTTCATCTGGACATAACCCCATGGTAAATGGAGGAGCATCCGTACTTCCGGAGGGTTCCTTAGAGCCTGTGCCAGTCACTTGAGAGTCTCAATTCCCTGCAATTTACATGTGTACTATTAGTAGAACCAATTTTTTTTAGACAGAGTCCTGCTCTGTTACCCCAAATAGAGTGCAGTGGCATTATTGTAGCTCAGTGCAACCTCAGACTCATGGGCTCAAGCAACCTCGCTCTTGCTCAGGCTGGTCTGAGCTCAAGCAATCCTCACGCCTCGGCCTCCCAGAGTGCTAGGATTACAGGTGTGAGCCACCACGTCTGGACAGTACAACTAAATTTCTAAGCTATGGTGTGCTGAAAATAAAACACTTACGAAGCAAATGGGAAATGGTGCTGTGTTTCTTTCTTCCAGGATGAAATTCACTCCTGAACAAAAGTTTCCTAAAATGGTAAATAATAATTCATCTAAATTCTCTCTTTCAGAAGTGTGAAAACTGATTATACAAAATGCAGTCATTCATGTCATACACTGTTAAAATGGAGTCAGATGGCCCTGGGAAGGACACCCAGGTCCCTGTTCCAGGAACCGTTTTTGCAATCCAACAGAAAAATCACAAACACCCCTAGCTAACTTTAAGACTATGTTTTGTCTAGTAACTGCTGCCATTCACCAATCAGAACGCACCAGCTCCTGCAAGACATGAGCAGCTCCAATGAATTTACTTTCAAGACAGCTTAGGTAACCTTCCTCTTTTCCCCAGTAAAACCCCAGACTTTCCCTTAGTTCTTCGGACACACCTAAGGGGCAACCCTGGTTTGTATGTCCCGAATTGCAATTCTAATTTTTGACATCTGATTTTTGTATATTATTCCCAAATAAACCCTTGGAGATTGACCTTTATTTAAGATTGACAGAAGTAAGAGAACATTCCCACCTTCTGACTGACCCCAGCAATTTCCCCAATCCCAGAAGAAAGAGCTCCCACCTTTGCCTATGGGAGGACTGTGCAGTCTTTTCAGCTATGGTCACGTTCAGATAATTTTGCCATCTGCCCTTCGGGATATATTCTCAGATGGTTAGGGCAGGGGCATCTTTTTAGGTGTTGCTGTAGTAGCCTTAAAAAGGCAAGTTTGGGTGTCACAAGGTAGTAATGAGGTGCCACCATGGGAGGACTGCACCTCAGAATCCCCCTCCCTGGTATGTATGCCTCTAGGACTGAGCCTCCAGGACTAAGAAGTGGAAAGTAGTGCTTCTGCTTTGGCCTGTTTTTCTCCAGCCTTCTCATGTTATAACTCTGGGAAGAAGGGCAAGAATTGACTACAGGAGAGATTTAAAGGAACTGTCATCTCAGATCCACAAAATGTAATCCACTCTCCCAAAGCACAGTAAGCAATTTTAAGTGATGAAATATTTCGATGTGCAATGAAAGCCACAGATGTTTCCAGCCCCTACTGTTTTTGAGGGGTGGGGAGGGGGTATAATTAGTTTCTGTGTAGGAATTTGATAGTTTATACTTACTAGGTATACAATTATGATATTTATAAACAAAAGAGGGCCAGACTCTTAGATTCAGCAGTTTTTTACCACCCTCCATTTTAATGATCTATAATGGCAATGTTTGATCATCTATATGAGGCTTTTGATTTCTAATTTCTAATGGTATAAAGTCCATGAATAAAGTACATTTGGTTTTTCAGCTTGATAGGTACAATATCTTCATAATAAACTATGTGCAGATTTCTTTGGGGGGATGGCATGATTTTATCATGATGGTCACGTTTCTAATCAGACTGCAAAACTGTTTCTACTCTGTAGTTGTGGTAGTACAAAGATGTCTCATTAATGCTCTCTGTAGGCTTTTCTTGCAGGTACTAACTTAAAACCACTAAGAATTTAATATACACGCATCCTTGTCAGTAACCTTGAGATCTACAAAATTTAAAATTCCTTTAGAAAATTTTGTTCACCTTCAGGATGTTAATTTTTTTAGTCAAAAAATCAGATGCATGCTGAATAGAGTAGCAAAAATTAAAATAACAGTCAACTTGAATTCTCTTTTCACAGATACGTATTTTACTGTCACATCCAGTGTAATCTGATTCGGTGCCATATGTTGCACTGAGCATTGGGGGTTGGGGGTGGGACCAACCCTGTCTCTCCAACATCTGTTATGTATTAAGAAGGCAAATACAAAAGTTACAATCACTGTGAACAAGCAGCAGTACCTATTGGCTCTGCAAGAAATTATTTGCTATTACATTTCAACAAGTAAAATGACGTTAAAAAAATTTCAAGATATTTATTTAGCACTGTGAGTTTTAACATATTTTAATAGACACAAGCATTCAAGTAGATGGCAACAATGGTAAAGCAGGGATTTCTAATAGCGTGTTACTGAAATCCAGCCTATAAAACTTAAAAATGTGGTTCCCAGCTGTATTAATATTAACAAAAACAGGATAGTCATAGCTTTGATAATTATGTGTTTGAGGTAATAACGTCTAACAGTGGCTGGAACTCTATACAAAACACTTGCACATGTGTTACTTATTCCTTGAAAGTTTGAAGGTAGATGTTGTTATTCCCATCTTATAGATAAAATTGAGGATTTAGAACTTCAGAGTTATATAAGTAGCAGAGCTGGGCCTCACATCCTCTTCCCCTTATTGCCCAAGTTGTGTTTTCCACCATTGCAATTGCTGATAAAAAGTTAATGCATTCTGACATTGTGAAAACAGAAAATAGTGCCAGGCATATAGTGGCTACTAATATCAATATGATTGCTTAAACTGAGGCCTACTGACTGTATATCAGAAAGCCTATGTAATATAGTCCCGACTCTAACCCCAAACACCATCACTTCACCTCTTCAGTTGCTCTCCCCTATGAAATCAAAATTTCAGTGGAGTTATTTCCATACAGAATGGGCAGGTGAATAAAGCGGTTTTTTGGCATTAATAATTTAAAGATATGTGATTCTTAGTAGAAAAATGGTATTTTCTCCTCTAAATTTCTGTTTTCCCTTAAATTTGGAGAACGGTATGAGTTAATGGTATTCAACAAGGCCTGGAGGAAAGTTGAAATTATAAGTTGGTGGTTACTACAAATAAAACCATAATGATGACTGTCCTCTAGGAGCTCTCATTTCCCATTTTTAGATTGTTCCCCTTATCCCTCCCACCACCAGAGTCTTTCATAATCTAGAAAGAAAACTATTCTACATGACTGAATTCCCCTTGCTTTTCTTTTATTAAGTATTTTCACTATGACAAGGATTTGTGTGTTCTTGCAAGACAACTAAAGATGTTTTTCTTTGGGTAAAATGCAAACATAATTCACTATGTTTCTCCTTTGGTGGATGTTGAGAATTCAAGTTGTCCCATGCAGGAGGAGAGGATGTGCTCACGGAAGTTTGTCCAAAGAAAGGATTTGTGGGTTGTTGAAGCTGACACAGAAATGAAAGAAAATGCAGAAAAGAACTTCCCACCATCCACAGGGATGTGGAGGGGGTGGCCCCTCAGCTAGTGGGACTGTGGTCACTGCCAAACAGCCACTGCCTCCCTCCCCACACACTTAGCATCATGAAATGGGATTGGTGTTACAATTGTAGGGTTGGATTTGGGAAAGTTTAGGGCATAAGGGTGGGTCAGTTGTGATGTATAAAAGTTAGGATAGCTCCAAGATGTTAAAAAGTCTGAAACAGGGAGCAAAGGAGTTCTTGTTTATATTGGATGGTAAATAAACCTAATATTTCTATATCATTTTGGTGATTCTGGAATCATGGCTTCCATGGTGGTATCCCTGTACTAGCACTGAACAGCAGACTTTGACTTGAATAGTTACAATTTAACTGTGGGAAGATTTGGCAAAAGAAGAGATCAGTATGAACAAAATCCCTGTTGTAAAACTTTCTCTATGACCTCTAGCTCAAGTGATATAGCAAAGCATTATAAAGAACCACGAAGCTCAGAAAATATTATACCCACAAAGACTGCATTGTCCTGTCTGCACACATTCATCTCTTTCCCTCCTGGCCGTTCTCACCTCTTTGATTTCTCCCCATATGCCTGGATAATTAAATCAAACACATACCTGCAGTAAGTGTTTTCAGAGTTTCTAGAAGATCAAGCATGAACAAACAGAAGAAATTATCTGATATTCTTTAAGTGCATTGATCAATAACCATGAAGCTCACTCCATTTCTTTCAGATCACCAGCTCAGGCAGTCTTGTCCTGAGCTCCTGTTGCCTACTCAATACCTGGAACTACAGCCGCCCACATTCCTTTTTCCCTAAGGATAGCATTTTGAGACATTCAGTTACTCAAAATGCCTTCTTGACACACCTTGAAAAGAGCTTTGGAGTTAGGACACCTGGATTCAAATTCTGGCTTTGCAATTCTCTGGCTATTTAACATTCTCTCCGAGTTTCAAGATCAG